AACAGGGTAAAAGGGTGAGCGTTGTTTGAGTTGAGTACAAGGGTGTGACGAGTGAGCGCTTTCGTGCAGCTCGTTCGCGAAAGTGCATAACTGTGTGGCTGAATAGCCACCAAGTGCTGACACAGACCAAACGAGTGAAATACACTCAAGTGTGATAACAGCGATGTGGAATAAATGTTCACATGGCTTGTGGCTCCGCCTCCACGTCCGCTTTCCCAAATCCTCTGCGAGGAGGAGCGCCTGGAGATGATGGGGGGCGGGGGGGGAGACATTCCGGAGCATTGCGCAGATGTGGAGGCAGCACACGAAGAAGACCTAAAGCCAGAAGTGGATCTCACGTTCTGGAAAACTTTCAATCGATGCAAACACAAAAAACACAGAGCGCGACACCCGGCGCTTTGAGATACAAGCAAGATGTGTGCCCTTTGATTTGTGGCTGTGACTCGTGACGGCAAACTTGACGTATGCGCACCCGCAAAACAAAAACAACTCAATTTGTACAATCGCATATTTAAAATGACCCAATAGCGTCTGCTAGCTTCATGCTAACACGACACACGTCGACAAAATCACAGCACTCACTCGGCATGCAGAAACGCTGCAGCTGACTGTCACGACCCCTTCTTCTTAACAACAACAACAACTCACGTCGAAGTCAAACGTATGTCGCAGTTAGAGTACTCGGGCAACAGTACAGTCCATCCCCAAAATGAGTGAAGCCAATGTAAACGACCGCCTCTGCTTACAGACGCATCTTCTTTATCCTCTGCAACAACAACAACAACAAAACACCCAAATAGAAAAGAAACCCCCGATCCTTGTGACAGCAGCCGAGTGACATTCCAGTGCCTCCATCTGTCTTTTGGGTCTGAGGCTGTTTTCACCTCGCGTCAGACGCCCGCGGCGACATTCCGATTTGACAACGAACACGCGGCCCAATGAGTCGGATTAAATAGAACGAATCTGACAATCATTTTTTTTTTCACTTAGAAACCACAAAAATGCCGAATTGGTTTTCATCTTTTTATTCCGAGAGTCGTTCACTTCATCAAATCCCAGTTTAAACTGTGTTTATTTTCAGAATATTGATTAGTTCTTTAAAAAATGTTGCATCTGTAAAATTATTTCTTACAGATGTTTTATTATACATTCCACAGTACAGCAATTCATCAGTCGTCTGTAAAATTGTTCCTTTGGAAATATTTTAGTTGAAAATGGATGAGCCCAGAAGTGAATCAAACAAGAATTGGAGAGAAGTTTCTTGATTGTACTCCTATTTGTATTTTGTTATTTACAGTCAAGTAACGAATCCATCCATTCGTACCCGAAGCGCTCTTATTTTATGATATTCTGATTTATATCGCTGTTATTTCCGATTTGATTCTCCGCAGTGTATCGTATGGGTGACCCAATGAGCTGACCACGGTCATTTGTTCCACCATGACGCCCCCCGGCGGTACTTTTGTGAACTGAAGATGTCATCGGCGCTCCGCGTCAGAGGGTCCCCCTTCCCTTTTCTTGGTCGGATCAGCTGTGTTGGCGAAAACGGGCCCAATAGGGGCTCTTGAGCACAGACGGGACTTGGACATCGCCCGGCAACGGCCAGGCACGGCCTCTGCAATCTGCCCCCTCCCCGCCCCCATCATGAACGAAATCCCGATCTCCAATAGTTTTGGACACGATAAAAGAGCGCATGGTCAAGCTAGGCAGTGGCTGATTTCGACCTTTTCTACCGTAAGAGTCTCTTGGCGTGGGGGTTGACATTTGTCCTGATTGTTCGTCATTGCTCCGCTTAAAGCAACGGTCCCGCCCGATCCAAGAAAACGACTCAGTCGTCACAACAACGGATCGCAGTCTAAAACCATGGCCACTTTCTCAGAGCATCCACCGGTGACACGCTTTCAATTTTGCGCCGGAGTTGAGGAGAAGCGGGTCCTTTCACACACTGGGGGCCGCCGCCGGGGTCACTCGAACGAGAGGTCTCCAGCTGGCCCGACGGTTGGGGTTCCCACCGCGGGGCTGATGGCTTTGAGCGGCCGCCGACCGGCTTCGGACGCCACTCGGTGAAGACGAGGAGCCGTCGACGCGAAGCGGCGGCCAAATCGACGAGCGTCAGCTCGGGCTGTCCGCCGTGTGGGGCTGCTTGGGACTCGTGCAAAAGCGGTACTGGTCTGGCTCGCCAGAACAGTTTGTCACTGTTTTGTAGGTGGTCCGCGCAGCAACCGGCCCCATTAAGACATACGTCAATTTTTAAAATATATAGCGTATAGATGAGGACCTAAGCTTGATCCCTGGGGAACTCCATTGCAAATATTGAGCCAATGTGTTGAAAGACAAGAAACATCCAACAACCCTCAGATTCTAACTTAAGGTATGGGGAGGTATACAGCAAAAAAACCCCAAACAAACAAACAAAACAAAACCTACTACGACTGCTGTCAGGATTCTAAAAATATGCCATGACTTTTGCAAAACAATGTTCCTTTCTGCATCCACATCACATGGATTCCATCACATACTTTGTAAAACATGTAAACTGCAGGTTAGCATTCATCACTTGATCTACAATATCACGCTCATAAACCGAAAGAGCAAAAACGGTGGCGCAAGTTATAACCGTGCAACAACAAAGTATTTTTGAAAAAATGGCAGAAAAAATAACATTTAACTGTTCATTATAACAGAAACAACGCTTACGTTTCATTTCACCGTCACCATTCTTTGTGGATTACGGAGGGGCGTGGCGGCCATCTTGCCTCAATGCGCGGCCTCGTTTTTCGATAAAAAAGGCACACAAACACAAACTTTCTTTGTAAAATACATTTAATCCCTTTTATATTTGGGCAAACAAGTCACCGGGAGCGTGCAGACAGCGGGCGGGGCCCCGTGGGCTCACGGCAGCCAATCAGAGAGCAGCAACTTGTTGCGCGCACTTGCGGCCCCGCCCGCAACCCCGCCCCTTCAGGACGTACCAGACAAACGATAAACGAGGCCTCGGCTAATTAGTATGCTTGAGCGTAAATACGACGACGACAAGACATTTTGAGGAGGACGAAGAGGACGAGGCATCCGATTGCTCGACGCCTCTTGAGGGAGGATGGACGGCGCAACTCGTTAAGACACATTAGCAATGGGGGCATTCAAGCACAAAACACTCGGATACAATTTTCCTTCATCAAATGAGTTTGCAACGCAAGTCGAATGGAAACTTCGAGATCAGGCAGGGGGATCCAAATGGCGTTTTTAGTCAGCATGCTAATTAATATATTGTAGTGCGGTAGTAAACATGTCAAGAAAAAAAAACAACAACTTAAAATCGACTTCTCGTCATTGAAACTTTTCATTCTTTTTCTATTCGGTGAAACGTTTCATTGATCCTTCATCGCCAATGAAAACATTTCGCCACTTTTGCGCAACACGATGATGTGGATGAAGTTAGCTAAAAAAAAATAACAGGGCAAACTGTTTGTTATCGTGAGCAAATATCTTACAGCATTCAGCAAAAACAACCTTTTTGAAAATGGGAACATTTCATTTTTTGCTTCAGTGCAACATACAGACGCAGGCGTGCATCGTTTTTTTTTCATGCCGAACATATTTTGCCACTCTTTTGTGTGGTGGGAGGCATGCTGTTTGGCGTGATCATAAAAGAAAACAAAAAAATCTTGCCACTTTTTCCCCTTGTCATCTTTTCATATTTTAAAAATTGTTGCCGGGAGCCAAAATAATCTCGTAACCGTTTTTGTTGCCTTTGACCTGCCCCTTGTGTTTACTTTTTTTTTTCTTTCTTCCAAACAATATATGCATAGTGAACCTTTTGTCACTTTGATTCATGAAACAGGCTCATTCATGGTCTGTGTGACGAAAACGATCTCTCAGGCAGACATTTCACAACTTTTGTTTCACATGCTAATGTGAGCGAAGCTCGGCTAAGCCAGTGGTATCGTGAAAAGAAAAAGGATCTCATGACGTTCACTTTTCTTCAACCTGTTTTAAATCCTTCTAGAATGCGTGCAGCGCATCTTAAAAATATGTCACCGATAGAAATATTTCGCCACTATTGTCAGTGAAGCTAGGCTAGGTGTGTTACCATCACAGCAAAAATCTATTTTGAATATTAGGACTTTTTTTTCGCGGTCTTTAATCTGACCTAAACATATAAACAGCAACAAAAAAATGAGCTCGAAACATTTAGCTACATGTATTTGATCGTGCCGGGACAGCAAAGAAATACTGATTGACTTGAATCCAACCTATTTTTTTCTTGAATCTTTTTGCGCATCTTTCAGAGATGGAGACAACTTTTCTTTTACAACTCAAGAAGGTATTTGGACACCCGTGCCTGAGGCATCCACCGATCCACTTCATTTTTGAAGTTCAGTGCCCCCCTCCCCCCCGCCCTAATTCCCTTCATGCACATCGGCATGCCAACGAGCGCCAGACAGCATCCAAACTTTAGTTCCAGCTTTCCCATAAAAGTGGGACAGGAATCGAGTCAATGTTGATGGAGAGAGCGCCAGTGTCCGGCAGTGCGGGATTAGATCCATGCGCTCAAAAACCACTGTTAATACATACATACATTATATATATCTATATCTATATCTATATATAGATATAGATATATATATACACACACACACACACACACACACACACACACACACACACACACACAAACACACTTTATACACCAGTGGGAGAGGAGAAAAAAAACAACTTCAACATGTTGTGAACCAATGTGCCCTCCTCAACTGTGGCAAAAATGGACGCGTCAATCATCATACATCAAGATTTTTTTTCAAATTATTTGTAAATGTAATACTGTTAAACATTGAGACTCTAATCGCAACCCATAGAGGGAAAAAAAAAAACCCTAGCATTTTCTGTGAGTTTCTGGGTAATAAAAACTTGGCAATTCAATGAATGAATCGACTGCCCCAGATGTTGAAATTCGTCACGTGGAATCCGAGCCGTTACTGGCCCGCGAGTACATTTGTCCATTTTTCAAGGGCTAGGTGTGGAGGGGCGTCTCGCCCAGATGGTCTGTAAAATTCAGGTTTGTAACCCACCGCAGTAGATGGCAGCATTGCGTCGCTTCAAATTTTGAGATCAGCAAAGTTTTTCAGTTGAAGATAAAGATTAGGTGAGCACTGTCAGATTGTCATCGTGATGACAAGGAAGAGAAACGACATCACGGTGGAAGTGGGACAAGTTAAGGCAACTGTTCAGATTGAGTCAGGCAGTGAGTGCGCGTCGCCCAGGGCGCGTTTCTTCTCTAAAGAAATGAACATTTGAAATTTAGCTGTCATAAGCCCCCTCTCGGTCTTATTTCATCGTTGGAGTGGCCATAAAAGCAAAAAATGTGCATCAAAGTCCTGCCCCCCCCCCCCCCCACATTCCACACACACAAAAAGTCTCCGCGCAGTGGTCCCAAACTGGTGTTTTGGTGAAACTAACAACTGTTCTACGGCTGATGACTGAAGAACGGAAAAAAAATATGTATAGAAACACTTCCGTTTTCATTCCAGGTGAAAGAAGCGTGTTGGTGTTTAGATTGTCACCAAAGACAACGTTTGGTTGCTATTTGAGCTCGTCTGACGTTGTTGAAGTGATGTATGATGATTGAGCAGTTTTGTTCCGTGCGTGTACATTTTCGGTCTCCAAAAGGAGAAAAAAAATGTGTCAAAACAAGTGTCAAAGGCATAGAAGAGTAAAAAAAACAAAACATTTACTACAAAAGGAAATTGCAGCAAAATGATGGCCAAATGAAAAAAGCAATTTTTTTCCAATCAAATAACAGAAAAGTGACCCCAAAACCGCCAGAGGAGGGTACACGAGTTTCGTTTTAAAAGAGGAGAATATACTATTGTGTATCTACACGTGAGTTAGGCTTCGGTGGGCTCCAGCATTGGGAATAAAAGATGGGTGCCACCAAAACGCTGTCGTACGGGAATCCAGCAAGCTAAGAACGGCTCCTGTTCGCAGGAACGGCCGGAAAGGGGGAGGAGCTTCTAGTAGACGGGACTATTGCGGATGCCGCAGCACAGGACCATGCTGAAGATCATCGCAAAGATCTGCGCACACACGAAAAAAAAAAAAAAAAAAAACAGCATGACAACATGACAGCCTGGTCGTCACGGCAACGGCGGGCTCACCATGATGATGGCGACCACCAGGGCGGCGATGCCGATCTGGTAGATCTTGTCCGAGAACAATTCGGTGATGCGGGTGTGGCAGCTCTGCAACCAAAGCCAAGAAATCAGCATGATTTTCAGAGAGCGACATTGAAATAAATTCAACGAGACGGTTGTAAAGATCCCTCCCCGTTCCGAACGAGCCGGCGTATTCCGACAGCAAAGACACAGGCGGCGTCAAGTTTCATGGCGATTGTCCCTCCATCATCAAGTTAAGTTTTATTGTGCAACATACGGCACAGATGAAATTTCTTTCCATCATGAACAAAAGATCTTTTCGTGAGCGCATCCTTCTTGTTTCGGACATCATAATCTGGCCATGAGGCTTGGCCTCGCGTCACTGCCCCCCCCC